CTGTTGCAGAGGCCAGTAAAGAACTAGTTTGGTTGAAGACTTTTCTTAAAGAGTTGGGCAAACAGCAGTCTGATTACTTATTGTACTGTGACAATGAGAGTGCGGTGAAACTTGCTAAAAATCCAGTTTATCATGGCAAGACGAAGCACATCGGGATGAGGTATCACTTTGTGAGGGGATTGATCAGTAATAGAACAATCAAGTTGAAGAACATCTCAGGTGCTAAGAATCCAGCAGATATGTTCACCAAGACAGTGGTGCTGGATAAGCTGAAGCTTTGCATAGCTTCAGCTGGTCTCCTGGAATAGTGTTGAGGAGAGGGGCAACTAGGGAGATGTGAAGATCAAGGAAGATTTTTCATTTACAGAAGTACAGAGAGGAGCCGCAGTTTGGTCCAAAGACTCCAAGTGGGAGATTGTTGGTGATGTGTAGTCATCGGCCCAAAGTGGCCCACTTGTAGACAACTGAGAATTAGGAGACCAGATTAGGGTTTCGGCCGGCCCAAATGGTTTTAAGCCCAGTTTGCTATAACTTGTCCAGCAAGGGTTAAACCCTAATTAGTTGTCTATATATTTGATCTCCTGTACTTGTAATCATCATCACTCAATAATACAAACCCTAGTTGCCCCTGTGGATGTAGGTCAGATTAGACCGAACCACGTTAAATCTCGTGTTCTCTATTGCTTTCTTGCTTTCTATTCGTGTGTGTGTGCTTTTGTTCTTAACACATCACCAGTGAAAAGCACACAGCAGGTTTCTTCCTGTACTTTGAGACAAAATAAACATGAAAGAAGACCTTTTTACTTTTAACGATGGTGATTGAATATTAAAATACCAACAGGGGTAAAGTATACCTCAAGAGACGAAAAATGTCTACCACTAAAATGTTTGTAGAAAGAGTCAGCAGAATTTTGATCATCAAACCTTATCAATATACTATATCTGTCTTCTATTCCTTCATTCCTAGGCTCACATAAATACAATATACACAATATTCAGGAAGTTCTAACAAATTGAAGGAAGTTAGGAAGTTCCTAACACTAAGTGTGCATTATGCAGCCTTCATGTCCAGTCTGTCAAAAGCTAACAAATTGAAGGAAATAGAACTTCCTAACACTAAGTCTAAGTGCATGCTCTTTTGTCTTATCAACCATATTTTCAACGATATCAGTAACTTACATGACTGGCTAATTCGATTGGATAACTAAAATGGCATATAATAATTAGCAAAAACTAAAAGTTGACTTACAGTCCTCATATTTCAGTTTTAATTTTATTCCATTTAATTTACTAAAAAGTGCATTATGGATGCATTTTTTGACAATATATAATTACCTTAAAGTGCAGGTCAACAGATGTGTGTTCTAAAAATCACACAGACTCGTATAACATATGGAAATTATTTGTGGTTTTTAAAGGGACTAAGAACCTTTTTTACACAATACCATGGAGATGAGAATTAAAAAATGTATTATATATAAAATCATTAATATTATACATAATTACCTCACAACTTGTTATCATCTTGGGACATCACAACAGACATTGGATCCAACGTCTTCAAATATGACAATAGTAGCAATGTCCAAAGTGTCAATTACTCTAGTCTTAAACCGTACATGTTTGTCATCATTCAATAATTGTAAAATCGGTACATCTTGTTTCGAATACAAATCAAGTATTTGTTTTTGTGTAAAATCTAGTTAACACATTAAAATGAGTAAAGATTATAAATGATTTATATATATCAACTATCAATGTGCAAAATTGTTTAAAAATTGACAAAAATAATTCACTATGCTCCATTTCATATACAAATTATGTATGATTCTACAAAGATGGAATGCAAAAGATTAAAAAATTTAAGAAAAGAGATTAGAGAAGAAACCTGGATTATTGGATGCACTAAATGAGAGGTTAGAACTCGAAAAGTCACTTGAATCAAAGACGACGGTCATATACACTGCACTAAAATGTGGTAATAGCTAGTTAGCTCAGCCCAGAAAGCATCCGATTTTGAATAATTTAGTGCTACATAGAATAAGTGAAGTAACACAAATCAATTTTCCGGATAGAATTAAATATTTTGACCAATAATTGAACTTTGATCTACTAATCTAAAACAGCGGAGCATGACGGACCTGAGAGAGAGGCTTGAAGACGGAAGAAGAAATAGAGAATAACAACCCAGCAGACCATTGCTCCGGTTGGATTGTCGCAGTTATGGGAAGAAGGACGAAAATGCAACCGTGTGTAATCTCGAACTTAATCAAACGGCTATTCATAATCAATCAATTTGCCAAAAAAATTAGGGATATCGAGAGACCAGAATCTGAAATAGGTATGGAATTCGAGAGACCAGAATTTGAATACACAAAGTTTTGATTTGAATAAGATTTGCATATGAATTTTAGAAACAAACCTGATTATGGAATTGACGCCGAAGAATAAGCGGATTTTGACATTGTAGATTTCGGAATTGACGCGAAGAATCTGCCAAGAATTAGCAGATTTGGACTTTCCTTCATTGTAGGCGCAGATTTCCTTCGGCGAAGATGTACCGCAAAGAATCAGCGATTTTTTTTGGCAAAGAAGATTAGGGTAAAATTGGGGTAGCCGAAGAAGAAGAATGGAAAGTCGAATCGGTACCTGGTATTTCTTTCCTTCCTTGAAAATCCAACGCAAGGAGGAATCGGGGCTGAATCAAATTAGTTTCCTTTGAGCGTGAAGATGCAATTATTTTTAGTTTCCTTCCGCGAAGAACACGAAGAAGAAGGTAGAAAGAACGATACTGCGGAAGAGCTTCCCCTAATAATTGGACGAGTGTATCCGAGGAGTAAGCAGAGCCTTTCACTTGCCACTTGTCATCATCATTCTAAGCTATCAACTCTCAAATACTTAGAATTTTAACCCATGCCATGCACGGGTGGACGAAATTTTTTTTTATTATACAATATCAAATATTTAAACAACTTAATTTTTTTTATGTTATATAACATTTAAATTTCACACACACACAGACACAGACACACACACATAAAATCTAGGTTTACTAAATTATTACAAATATATAGTTCTTTTCACCCCCTGAATTCAAAAAATATACGACAAAAACATTGGTGATTTTATTATTCTCTCCCGCATTTATTTAACAAACTTAGATTTCCGATCTTGTAATTTTAATATAAAAAAATCATGATTCTTCTCCGCCAGATTAATTTACATTAACGGAAATATATTATTTTAATTTCTATGATGCATTAATGTGATTCTTTCTCTCCTTGGCCCTTTGCACTAATTAAAATTGACTCTTTTTTCTTGTATTATTAAAAGTATGAAAACATAAATTAACAATCATATGATAAGAAATATAAATCTTACAATACATTTAAAATATAATGATTATTCTCCCTCGTTTTATTTCAAGAATTATGTGAATGCAAAAAAAACATTAGTGATTCTATGATTTTAATGAAATTTTAAAAAAACTATTTCACAATTTTTACTCATTTTTTTGCTTTGTTTTTAAATATTAAATCATTTAAGTGTGTGAAAGTATTTTGGTCAATACATAATGTTTTATAAGATACAAAGAGTTACAATTAAAAAATTATATTTTTCGTTGATGTTGTAGTTTAACCTAAATCTTATTCGCTTCTGCACATAAGATGTTCTTCGTACTTCTCCTTAAATTACTGATTATCCTTGCTTGCATCTAAATTTTAATTGTCACATATCTTCACGCGTTTCTCGACATCCAGATCTTAATTTTCCTTATAGAAATATTTTTTGTGAAAGTCCATGTTATATATCGCTTCATCTCTAAGAATATCAATTTTTTAAATTTCTTTGTATGATTGCGAAAATGAAGAAAAGAGAATCGAGCCATACTTCATCCGTCTTTTTTACATCACTATTTAAATAAATGGAATAAAGCTAAATTCTCTTAATATAGGGATTAAGAAGTATTTGTTATTTTACAACTTGTGGGGTGCAATTGAAGGGTGTGGGGGGGTGTGTTCGGGTCAGGGACGGGGTGGGGGGTTTACCGGGGGGGTTAGGGGGGATAGAAACCATCAATTTTACGAACGGGGCACCGGAACAGCCCCGGGTCATCCTATGACATTAAGATTCAATGTCATTTGAACCTTCCCCTTAAATAAATGGAATAAAGCTAAATTCTCTTAATCATAACATAAAGAAATATGAAATTTTGTTAAAGATAAAGAGAGTAGTTTATATATTCATTGAAACTATTATTATAAATGAAATGAAAAAAAATTAAAACAATATTCTAATAAAAAATAAATATCTCTCTTTCTAATTAAATGTACTCAATGATAATAAAATCAAAAATAATGTTAGTGTAATATAATAAGTCCCAACGATATATTTTGTTTTAATCATTTGTCTTTTATAATATAATAAAAATAGGTTTAAATATGTTTTTATACCCTATAAAATAAGAAATGTTTTTGTCTCTGTAAAATATTTTTTGATAAAGTCATCCCTACAAAATATTTTAATTTAAAAATAGTCCTTAACGTAATTAGAACTTCTAATTAGATGAGATAGTACATTTATTTCATACTCAACATATTAGTCATGTATTTCTAATTACATCCCATGCAATTTCTAAACCCTAAATTGTGTACTTATTCATATTACATATATCTGGTTCTCAAATTTCTTACGAATATAATATAATCAAAATTTGAGAATTAAAAATGCAATTTGATAAAAGACACAATTGTTGACATCAAAATTGTGTCTGAAGTAATTGCAAATATAAAACCAAGCTATTGAGTACAAAATAAATATGTTATCTCAACAACTTAAAAGTCTAATATATTTTACGTGCTTTAACAATTTACTTTCTAATCTTCTCATTTTTATAAAGTTTCATTGTAGTTTTAAAATAAGTGTTTCTAATCTTCTCGTATTTTAATAAATATAATCAAACTAACTGCTTCGATTTAAATATATCATAAAAATATGAAATTTATTTTAAAGTGAAGAAATATCTTATTAATTGCTTAGGGCCAATTTGGTGAATTTTGGAGATATTATAAGATGTGGGTTATGAAAACTCAGGAAAATGATATGGACTTTGTAATCTAAAATGATTTTATTTGGAGAGATTTAAATTCAGGATTTAATTAGTAATAAGAAAAGGTGACTGACAACGGGAGTGGTTGGCAGTGATAATGGTAGCGAGTGACGAAAAATGATAAATAGTTGAGAGAGATATCAAACCCCCATATTGATATCTCCTAAATTCGGGAGATATTGAGAACATAAATTTTAAAGATTTATGATATCTGCAGATATTAAATTTGATAACTCTTTTGGCTTCACCAAACACCAGAAAAGGATAAGAATATCTAGAGATATCAAAATTCAAAACTTATATTTTTTTTGCTTACCAAACACACTTTTAGAAGTTTTGTAATAATTGAATAGAAAATTATACATAATTAGAAAATAATTTATTATAAAACGAATATCTATATTCTCTTCCATAATTAATTGTACTGAAGAACTTCATACAATAGTTTTAACTTCTTAATTTCTATATTATATTTTACGTGTCAGAAATGTCTCTTAAACAATATCACATTTGAGCTTCTTAAAGATTAATATATCAATTTTATAAATAAAGGATCAATTATAAACATATTTGATCCTTTTCTATAAGAATACTTTTAAATGAGAATATATCATTATCAAAATTTTGTTTTTTGTGTATGCACTTAGTTAAAATTTGATTCATAAAAAATGCTAGTCTTGAAATGGTAGATGATAATACCAATTTTATATTTTCACTAATTGTTTGCTACATTATAATAAGTTTTATCATAAAATTATATTTTATATAATTGTTTTCCTTTAAAAAATTTATCTTTCAAAAATTTGATTTTATGACATAATTAATTTTATCACATCATAACAAATAAATAGATGAATTGCTTTTTAAAAATAAAAATATAAATACTCAACTAATGTCACCAAGTAATGAATTCTTTATTTGTTTAACGTAAAATTTTTCCAAAATTTGAAATCATTTTTAAATATCTATTTTAAAATAAAAAGAAAGGTCAATTCATTATTAATAAAATTTGCCACATAAGCAACCAATAAAGACTTGCCATCTCACCTTAATATAGCCCACATAAGCTTGACACACTGTGACTTTCTAGCAAACGAAGTCTCAAATATTATATTAAAGGATTATATTTTTTATAACTAAAAAGTAATTTTTATACCATCTTTTTTTAATTATGAAACATTATAAAAGCTTAAGTGAGATTGTAACAAAAAGCATCATAGCTTGGATGGTTAGAAACTCAATTAAATGACCAAGAGATCCTTGTTTCAAACCACATGATGGTATGCTTTTGGAAAAAAAATTGCAAAAAAAGAACTGGTATGACCGGTCAAACCGATCGGTTTGTCTAAAAGGGTGACACATCAGCTCGCCACATGTTGTGCTTTAGCTTTGCCAAATGTTGCCACATCAGCTCGCCACATGTCGCGCTTTAGCTCTGCCAAATGTCACGTTCTTATAGCTCCGACTCTGCTTTATATATATAAAGGATTATATTAAAGGATAGGCACCAAAATCCCCTCTGTTTGCAAAGCTTATTTCTAAAGTCCTTGTGGTTTCAAAATGCTGCACCCGTGCCCCCTCTGATAATTTTCTAGCCATTTTTCCGGCGAAGAAGGGGGGCATTGCAGCATATTTACTAAACCACAGGGGGTATCGGTGCTGATATTTATTTCTCGCTTATTTTTTTGTTTTTTTCCATTTTTCCTTTATTTGTTTCTTTTATTAATAAAGGTTTTTTTTAAAATTATTTTTATAATGCTCATAAAATTTAAAGTTATTTTTGTTTAAAAAAATCAACATATAATGTATATGTACTTCTCAAATCAACAGTTTTTGTTTTTTCTGAAAAAAGTAAATTTTTTTTGAGAATTTCAAAAAAATGACGAATAAAATAAGAAACAAAATAATAGAAAAATAAAAATGAATATCTTTTTCGAACATCTCAATTCTAAGGACTTTTTTAGGCTTGTCCATTTTATTGTATCATACTTTTTTTGTGTATTTTTATTTTTCATTTTATTTTTTAATATTTTTTATTTTTTAATTCTAGGTTTTTCTTTTTGAACTTTCCAAATAAGTACGTAACAAAAAGTGAAAATGTTTAATTTCAAATAGATGCAATGTATGTTAATTTTTTTATTTTTATTTTTATTTCAAACACAAAAATTTTTAGAATTTTAAAACATTATAAAAAAATTGAAAATAAATTAGAAAAAAATATAGGAAAAGAAAAAAGAGATAGAAAATATTTAAAAAAAAGAAAAACACAAATAATAAACGAAAAAAATGAGCACGAATACCCCCTATGATTTAAAAATTATGCGCAAATACCCCCTCTTTGCCGGAAAATGGCTGGAAAATGATTAGAGAGGGCACGAGTGCAGCATTTTGAAACCACGTGGATTTAAGAAATAAGTTTTGAAAATAGAGGGGGTATTGGTGTCAATTTTCAAAACCACAGGGGGCACCGGAGCTATTTGGCCATGAAAAAATTGAAATCTTTTGTGTGTGTGTGTTCTACTATGTTTCTTTTACCTAGTGTTTATTGGTTTATTACTAATAGTGTTTGACCTAGTATTCCACTTTAATTTTTACATTGTTAATTTTTTTAAGTTTAATTACAATTTATGAAAAAATATTGAATTGTAATATAAATTTAGTATCAATTATTTTTTTCCAAAAATATTTTG